CCCCCCAACCCCCCTCATTCACACATTGTAAATTTCTGATTTTTCTAACTTCATGGTCATATTCATCAATATGGAAGAATAAACGTTCTAAATAAAAGATTTGAGAACAAAACGATTGGCCACACATTTCTTAAATGTGATTTGCGTATGTTTTCTTTCAATTATTTTAGAATCTAATGATCATATTAATCCAAATTTTCTTTTCTTTTTAATATTTGAAAAACCGACTAACAGCAACTAATTTTTGTTTCAAATTATTCACAAATTATTTAAGTACTTAAACAGTTTGATAAATAGAAAGGTTATTTCTCTTATTTTTTTTTAAATTAAGATGTGATATAAGATCACAAAGTCGCCTAGGTAACCGCATTTTAAAATATAAATTTATATTTGTTTGAAATGTAATGAATATAAAGATGGAAACTAGAATTTCTGGAAGTCAGTTGAAATATGCAAATTCATCTAGACCCCAACAATACCTTGAATTGACACAAAGATAGATAGAGATATACATATGATATATGTGGNACTTATTAAAAATCAAACTTATTAAAAATCAAACTTATTAAAAATCAAACTTATTAAAAATCAAACTTATTAAAAATCAAACTTATTAAAAATCAAACTTATTAAAAATTCAGAACATTCTTTTCTTTTCAAAGCTTTAATTACAGTAAGAAGAAGTTCTGGTTGGTTGATTTCAAGATATTTCGTGCAATTTACTTTAGGTTGGCGTGATCCCGGCCTTCCCTGTATGCCGAGTCCATTAGCGCCTGATCCAATTAGGGTTCAGTCATGTGTTTGTTTTCTATTCTGAACCAATAGATATTGTATGGCGGTAATATCTATCTTTCTATCTATCTCATTATCCAATCAGAGTTATGAATCCTTCAATCAGCGCTATCAGTAAATGGAAATATTTACTTCTACCGAAACTATAGTGATCCCACCTTCAAGAAAATCCCACTCCCCCTCCTATCTTCTAAACCCCTTCCCCTCTATTCTCCTACTACCCCCCCCCCCNCCCCCTCACCTATATCCCACTCTCTTCTGTCTACCCATAATTTCCATAATGTTTATACACACAAGGCCAGAAAATATGTTTCCTGGGGGCGAAGACAGTTATATAATTGCACACAACATATCTCACACTATTCCTTTGATATTGTATCATACTAACATTTAAACACATCTCACATACACGCATCACTTAGGATTTTTAGGCCTTAAACAGACCGTTCACTTATTTGGGTAATTTCAGGGTAAACTAAATTGCTATTCATTGGTATTGTAGTCTTACTTTTCAAAGACAACTGTGGCCGGAGAAAAAGCTGATATATATTATTCAGAATTCCAGCACAAAGGTATGATACCTTTGCATTTACACTATTTGATGCTTTTTGACAAAGTCATGAATTTTTTCAAATTTTCAAATATTTTTTTTTTCAAACTATTTAAAATCAAAGAGTTGTTACTGAAAAAAACATTTAAATAGTGTATATGCAAAGATATCATACCAATGAATAATACCAATGAATAGCTAATAGGCTAATTAGTTTACCATGAAATAACCCAAATAAGTGAACGGTCCCTTTAAGGAGTCTCCATAGTACTCACAAGTTTTAGTACCTGTATGTTTATTTCTTAGGTACTATAAGTACTGGGAACCAGGGTATTGAAGGTATTGGGTGCCTGGTTACTTACTATAGGTATTGGGTACCTAAGTATTGAAGGTACTGGATACCAGGGTACTTTAGGTATTGGGTACCTACGGTCTATCAAGCACTGAGTACTTTGATACCATATGTACTGGGTATCTTGGTACTTTAGATATAGGTAAAGGTACTGGGTACCTGGGTACCTGAGTACTTGGTACATAGGTACCTGAGTACCTTGGTACATAGGTACCTGGGTACTTGGGTACATAGGTACCTGGGTACCTTGGTACATAGGTACCTGGGTACCTTGTTACATAGGTACCTTGATACTAGGCACTTAGGTACATTGAAACTATGTACTTTGGGTCTAGTTACCTGGATACTGTTTACTAGACTATGCACGTAGGTAAGAGGTACAAGGTACTAGGTCCTGGATACCAGGGTACTGGGTACTGGCCACCTCGGTACTATGTACTGGGCACCTGGATACTTTCTGGATACCTGGATACTCTATGTCCTGGAATGATATCCTGGCGAGGTTTAATCAAGAATTCTACATTAAATAACAAGCTTCCGTACTCAACACTGGGAGGGGTTGGTTGGGGAAGGGTATCTATCTATCTA